GACCATTTTAATAGGCTATAGAGGGCACTGTGGTGGCCTGGTGAGTAAGAGGCTGCCAACCCAAAGGCAAGCAGTTTGGAACTTCTAGTTGTTCTGCAGGAGAAAGATGAGAAGTCTTCTCTCATGTAATTTATGGCCTCTGACAAGCTGCTGGAGCCTCAGTTATGAGGCTGTTCTAACTCAATGGCAATGAAAGAACAGGAGTCAAGGCTCCAGTAAGAACTGATGGAAGTAGTAAGATTTTTGAGACAAGAAAAGAGGAGAAACAATGTATGACAACAATTTGGAACAAGGGGTTCATTGCTGGGGGTGGGGGAAGAAAATGTGCAACAATGAAAAAAATAAATAAAAGAAAATGGGAGAAACAAAGTATCTCCAGATACATGTTACTTACTCAATAAACAAACTAAAGGTGACTCTTTGTCCTCAAAACAGTCCTAATAAAAGTTTTAGACAATCTTTTTAAAGTGTACTAGCAAAACCTTAAACTCAAGTAGTGTAACTTTACAAGAAAGATAACAATAATCTCATATACTATACATGCAGAATGATGTTACAGCCAAGTCTGCCATAACTGCTGCGTTTTGGTTCATTCACTGTCTTTTAAAGTGCTCTGTGCACTTGCTAAAGTCTGCCTAGCCTCATAATTAGCTACAATAGTCCTCAAGGAAAATTAAAATCAAACTAATAAACCACTGGTGTCAACTGCCCTAAAGAAAATCACCGTGGACTTGTCATCGTTTCTGTTAAGTTGCCAAAGTTAGCTCCAACTAGCAGCCTTAACAATAAATAGAATAAAGCACTATCATCAGTCGTGCACCATCCACACAATCCCCAGTATGCTTGTTACTCCACCTTACTGAGGATTTCTCTTGTTCACAGAATCTCTACTCTACCAAACATGATGTCCTCTTCTAGCAGCTGGACGTTCCTGATGGGTGTGTCCAAAGTAAGCTACATAAAGCCTCACCACTCTCCCACCTACTGAGATTTGGGCTGTACTTCCTCCAAAGACATTTTAGTTATTCTTGGAGGCCACGGCATGTTCCATGTTCTTCGTCAACTCCATAATACGAATGCGTCAATTCTTCTTTTTAATTCTTCCTTTCTCATTGTCCAGCTTTCACATCAAATCAAGTGATGTGGATCAGGAGCACCTTAATAATTCAACTAACACCTTTACTTTTTAAAATGTTACAGAGCTCTTTTACACAACATTACTCAATGCAGGAATTCCTTTGACTTCCTGACTGCTAATTTCCTGGGCAATGATTTTTGTCCATGGAGAAAGATATTCATGATAACTTCCATTTTTTCACCATTTGTCATGATGTTTACTGGTCCAGTTGTGAGGATTTTCATTTTCTTTACATCCCAGTGTAATCTATACTGAAGGCTGTAGTCTTTTACATTCTTCAGTTGGTGCTTCAAGTTGTCTTTCTTAAACTAGGTGATGTTATCTGACTATCATAGGATGTTGATGAGTCTCCCTCTAATTCCACAATGCCATGGTCTTCTTCATATAGTCCTGTTTCTCAGATCATTTGCTCAACATACAGAATGAATAAGGTGAAAAGATACACTCTGTTGTACATCTTTCCCAACTTCGAGCCACACAATATTCCCTTGTTTATTAGAATAACTGCCTCTTGGTTTATACAAAAGTTCTCCTTTAATGAAATTAAGTGGTCTGAAATCCCCATTTTCTTAATGTTATCTCTAATTTGTTATAATTCACACAGCTGAATGATTTTACAAAGGTAAACATTTTTTTCTGGTCATCTCTGCTTTTCGTCATGATCCTCCTGATCTTAGAATAATATCTTTCATTCCACACCCTCTTCTGAGTCTGATATGTAATGCTTATAATTCCCTATTAATGTACTGTGCAGCTGTTTTATAATTATATTTAGCAAAATTTTGTTAGCATGTGATATTTATGATACTGTTCAATGCATTTGATCTGTCTTTCTTTGGACCAGACATGTATGTATCTGGGTGTCTGGAAGCCAGCTGACTATGTGGTTATCTTCCAAAGTTCTTGACACAGATGTGTAAGCACTTCAAATACTGTACTCGGCTCTCTGCTCCTTGTCGATCCAGACTGCCCTCTCTTCTTGTGCAGCCTCAGCCACATCCCTGATACACAATGGTGAATGTCGGAGTAAACGGGTTTGGCCTCATTGAAAGCCTGGTCACAAGGGCTGCTTTTAACTAACAAAGTGAATGTTCTTGCCTTCAATGATCCCTTCATTGACCTCAACTACATGGTCTATATGTTCCAATATGATTCCACCCATGGCAAGTTCAACGGCACACTCAAGGCTGAGAATAGGAAGCTGGTCATCAATGGGAAAGCCATCACTATCTTCCAGGAGCAAGATTCCGCCAACATAAAGTGAGATGATGCTGGTGCTGAGTATGTTGTGGAGTTCACTGGTGTCTTCACAACCTTGGAGAAGGCTGGGGCTCACTTCAAGGGTGGTGCCAAACGGGTAATCATCTCTGCTCCTTCAGCTGATGCTGCCATGTTTGTGATGGGTGTGAACCATGAAAAGTATGACAACTCTCTCAAAATTGTCAGCAATGCCTCCTGCACCACCAACTGCTTGGCTACCCTGACCAAAGTCATCCATGGCATGGCATTGTAGAGGGACTCATGACCACAGTCCACGCCACCACTGCCACCCAGAAGATTGTGGATGGACCCTCTGAAGAGCTGTGGGGTGATGGCCATGGAACTGCCTAGAACATCATCCCTGCATCTACTGACACTGCCAAGGCTGTGGGCAACGTCACCCCTAAACTGAATGGGAAAATGGCCAGCATGGCTTTCTTTGTCCCCATCCCCAATGTGTCAGTTGTAGACCTGACCTGCCGTCTGAAGAAAGCTGTCAAATATGATGACAGCAAGAAAGTTGTAAAGCAGGCATCAGAAGGGCCCCTCAAGGGCATCCTGAGATACACTGAAGACCAGGTTACTTTAACAGTAACACCCACTCTTCCACTTTTGATGCTGGGGCTGGCACTGCCCTGAACAATCATTTTGTCAAACTCATTTTCTGGTATGACAATGAATTTGGCCACAGCCACTGGTGGTCAACCTGATGGTTCACATGGCCTCCAAAGAATAAGAGCCCCTTGGACCACCAGCCCCAGCAACAGCACTAGGAGAGAGAGAGACCCTCAGCTGCTGGGGAGTCCTTGTCCCAACTCGATCCTCCCACACACTGAGAATCTCACATCCTTGACACAGTTTCCATCCAGTCCCCTGAGAAAGGGGAGGGGCTTGGAAAGCCCATCTTGTCATGTACCATCAATAAAGTACACTGCACTTAGACAAAAAAAGGAATAATACTGTACTCATCTGTCAAAGCATTTCAATTAGCAGTCCATCAATTCCAGGAGCCCGATTGTCACCAATGCTTTCAGTGCAGCTGTGAACTACCTCTTTTGATGTCACTGGCTCCTGATCATATTCTACCACTTGAAATGGTTGAACAAGGACTAATTCCTTTTGGACCAGTAACTCTATGTATTCCTTCAATCTTTTGATGTCATTTGCATCATTCAACTTTTTTTGCCCAATTTGAGATTTTAATTTTTTTTCATTTTTTTTTTCCATTTGAGAAATGAACATAATTTCCTGTTTTCATATTCTAGATCCAGGTCTATGTACATTTCATTCTAAAACTCTGCCTTATCTTCATGAGATGCTCTTGAGAAGGTTTTGTTAATTTTATGTGCAGCTTTTACCTCATTGTTTTTCTTCTGTGTACTTTACCTACTGGGACATTCATTTTCATCTCTCCTTTCTTTTTATCTTTTTAATAACCTTTTAACTTGTTAGATCCTCTAATCCCTTCAGTCATCAAGAAAACAAAAATCACACTAACAATACATCAGAAGTATCAATCACTCTTTAGAACACTGCCATGTACTTAGACATGCTTAAAACAATCCCAAAGTCACTTAAGGTCTAATGTTAAAGCAGAAAATTGGCAAAATAAAAGGTGCAGGCCTCAGAAATAATCATCTCATCTGTTGATATAATACTGCCTTTTCTTAAATGGACCATTTTACTGTTTTTCAAAGCCTTTCCTTTTTTAACACTGAACCATTTTACTGTTCCGAAAAGAGCTGATGACAGCTTTTTCTCTTCAGCTAATATCCATGGGGTTTCTTTTTGGGATAATTAAATGTTCTAAAATTGATTGCGGTGACAGTTCCAGAATTCTGTGAATATACAAAAAAATCACCAATCTTATACTTTGAGACTGTTAACAATTTCAGCTTGCTTGATTCCACAATCAACACTCTTGGCACAAACAGTCAGGAAATCAAAAGATTAATTACATTAGGAAAATCTGCTGTCGGGACCTCGCCAGAGTGCTGAAAAGTAAGGATGTCAGCCTAGAGACTAAGATGTAACTAATCCAGTCTATGGTCTTTGCAATTATTTGCTATACATCAGAGAGCTAGACAATGACTAGGATGACAGAAGAAGATGCTTTTGAGTTGTGGTGCTAGAGAAGAATACTGAACATACCACAGACTGTCAAGAGAACTAACAGGTCTATCCTGGAGAGGGTGAAATCAAGCTGCTCCTTGGAGGCAAGGATTTTAAGATTCCATGTCACATACTTTGAGCACTTAGCCAGGAGAGATCAGTTTTTGGAGAAGGATATCATGCTTAGAGGACTCGAGGGATAGCACAGGAAAGGAAGACCCTGGTTGAGATGGATTGACTCAGTGACTGGTGTAATGAGGGTAGCTGTGTCACAGACAGTGAGATTGGCTCAAGATAGAGCAGGGCTCAAAGCTATTGGGCATAGGGTCGCTATGTGTCATAGCTGACTCGACACATAACAACATATACTTTAAATAAACAAACTGTATGGGAGATGCGAGATGATTCCTATCTCAGTAGAATGACTACAAAACAACAAAGATAACAGAACCACAGTCCCTGATCCTGCCTCCATCGCTGCTGTACTCACTTTGAAACCTTCACGGAATCATCTGCCCAGCCTCCATGTCGACGAGGTGGCTTTGGAGGAGGGGTCTACAGAGAGAGGACAAAAACCACAATCAATGTTCACCTTCAAACTGAGGTTAGGATCAGACTTAAACCTAAATTCTAATTTACCTTTTGAGTAAAGATACAATAACCTAACACACTGTGAAATCTCAGTGCCTGCATACCCTTCTAGTGGAAGGGTACCTTACCACAGTATCTGGAGGTCAACTTGGCAATGTATTAAAGTTTTTAAAATGCTCATACTTTTTGAGCCAGCACTGACAGTCTCAGGAATCTATCCCAGGAAAATGATGAGAGAAGAGAGAATGGTGTTTTTAAATAGTGAATAATAGGAAACAACCTACATGGCTAACAGTAGGACTGTAAGTAAATCACAAAACATGAAAATATGATGCAAAAAAAAAAGAAAATATGATGCAATAATTTTACAATTCTATTAAAAGTAACTTAATACCATGAAAAAGTACAATACATATTAATGATTTTAAAATCTCTTACAAAACAGTAGGTATTATCTCTGATTTTGTGAAAAGATTAATAATACATAATGGTGTTGTCACCAAGTTGTCCCCCAACTACTGGCAACCCCACCCATGAACAGCTCACAGTGCCGCCTGGTTCTGCGCCAGCCCCGTAACTGGTGGCAGATCAGACAACATTCCATTGTGACCACAGAGACTGGTTGATTTTCAGAAACAGGTCTCCAGCCCTTTCTTTCTTCTCATTCATAATCCTAGTGTTAATCTGATACGTGCATATGAGGGACTCACTGCAGAGAAAAACCTGCAGGCAATTGTTATTGTTCTTTTTTGTGCTGTGACATAGTTTCTGTTTGTTTTTTTAAATAGTCAACTTTTAGTACCTTTATAAAAAGAAAAGTAATAAAATACACAAGAAGGAGGGTCATTTAGGAGGCAAACTTGAGTGGTTAAAAAATCTACTCAAATTATTGAACAGGAAACACCCATTTGCAATGCAGACACTCAGAAACTCAAGCATAAGAATTCTTGCTATCAACTGAAAAACCATGAGAATATCAACAAATCCACTGAATTTCTCTGGTTGGATAGAACAGCATAACCGATTTCCTATTTTGAATTAACCTTTACATTCTCCTAAAACTAACTGTTAAAATATAAATTTTCTTTTTCCAAGACTTGTTGTAATTACAACCACTGTTCTTGGTCTAAGAAGGTACTTAGACAAATGCACTAAAGGAGGAATCAACAAGCTTCTGTAAGGGACTAGGCAGTATGTATTTTTGGTTTTGTGGTCCATATGGTCTCTGTTGCAACTACTCAGTATAGACTCTATAGGAAAAAACCAAACCACACCAAGCCCATTGCCCAAGAGTTGATTGTGATTCATGGTCTCCACTGAGTTTTTGAGGCTGTAAATCTTGACAAGCACAGAATGCCTCATCTTTCTCCTGTAGAACTGCTGAAGGGTTCAAACAGCTGGCTGTGGGGCCAGCAGCCCAGTAAATAACTCACTATGCCAGCAGGGCTCCTCTTTAGAACCATCACAGGGAACAAGTAAACACTTTCATTTATCACATATCCCTCCTTCAGTGTACAAACAAGTATGTGTCTGTGGTATAATTTCAGTAGGGGCTATTTTATTAAAACTTTAAAGTAACTATTCATAATAACAAGCCGGCACTTCTTTGCTACTTGTATCAAAATATCATTACATTAAACATAAGACATCATTAAAGATCTTTTGTGCATCTGGAAGTGTTTGAAGTTTTTTATACACAGAAAGGTAAATTATTTACTGCATTCTAAGATAAATATATGAGGGAACATGAGATACAAATGGTACAATCTATATAGAAATTGAATTTAAAGATTTGAGACCAGAATTCATTTGTAATCTAGAGACTATCTGTACGCAGGGAGCTCTGGTGGTTCGAATCCACTAGCTGCTGCTTGGAAGAAAAATGGGCAATCTCTTTCCATGTGATGTATAGCTTTTAAAAACCCCTTGTACGGTCAGCTTTGACTTGATTCCAACTAGACAGGACATACTACCACCTACTTATAACATCTGCACAATGTACAAATCACACACTGTCTATTTTAGAGACATACCATGGACATTTAAGAGTCATGGAACTACAGAGTGTGGCTGCATTTCAATATAACAAGCCCATCTTTTTGTTTGCTGATCCGTGACCTGAAACCGCTTCATTCCGACTACCTTTTAATCTATAGCTCAAAGCCTATTTTTTTATGTTTACAAATTTTAATCCATGTATTTATTTTCTTACAGCATATTCTCCCCATTTAAGTTTTCCCCCTTTCATTCACTGTTGCACATTTTCCTTCCTGCCCACCCCTCCCACCCAGTTCACTTTTCTCTTTGAAAAAAAAATTCTTTCATTGATATACAATCTCCACCCCCACCCCACCCGAGTCCACAGTCCACTTTACTATGCATTTCTTTTTCTGGAATCTTGTCATGAAAATAATACCTAATCATCTATTACTTTTAAAGAATTCTCTCTCTCATCTGTTTCAATGCAGTATACATTATTTATGACCTCTTTTCTTAGTTTCCCCCCAAACCCAATGTCAGTCCCGTTTTACAACAGTAGCACTATGCACTATTTGTCCTTCTGTGACTGAGATATGTCACTCAGCATAATGTCCTCCAGGGTCACCCATTTTGCATAATATTTCATGAGTTCCTTGTTTTTCAATGCTGCACAGTATTTCATTGTGTGAATATACCACAGCTTCTCTATCCATTTGTTTGTTGATGGGTACTTGGGTTGTTTCCAACTCTTGCTATTGCGAACAAAGCCGCGATAAACATGGGTGTGCATATATCTGCTTGAGTGGCAGTTCTGGTTTCTTTAGGATATATTCCCAGTAGTGGAATTGCTGGGTCAAATGGTATCTCTATTTCCAACTATATCCATAGTGGTTGTACCATTTTAAACTCCCACCAACAGTGAATAAGGTTCCAGTTTCTCCACAACCTCACCACCATTTGTTGCTTGACAAAGCCTGTTTTGTAACATTTTTAAGAAAGTACAATTTACTATGATAAACTATTTTTATATTTTTGGCATGTTTTCTTTTACACCAAGGTATGCTTTCCTTCTGGATTCTCTGGTAGCATTGCAGCCTATGAAGGACACATGGCATTTCCACACTGACCCTTTCTGCAGGGTAAATCAGAGGCCTCCTGGAAATGACTGGAGAGTGACAAGATCTCGTCTACCTATATCCATTTAGTTCCTGGGGTATGTGAACAGCACTTTAGAGAACAGAGCAGACTTCAGTTTTCTATACAGGAGAAAGAAAGACAATGAAAACTATTCTGGAGCTAAATGTATCTTAGTTAAAACATCAAAAATGCGGAAGTAAAAATGAGGTATTCTGTGCCTCTAACAAAGGTGGAAGACAGAGCAGAATGATGGACTAAGTCAGAGATCCCATCACTGCTTTCTGTCCTCATGTCATCTGTTGGCATACCTGGTTCTCCATACATGCTCACGACCAGGCTGACAGGGAAAGTCCTATACTCTGAGCCTCCTTTCCTACAACACAGCTGACTCAAGTGTGGGTATACCACTCTGGTCCAATCTGAACCAATCAGATTCTGTGTTCCAGGAATCTGGAGTTGTGACACAGAGACTAAGCTGTTCAGACCACAATGAACACTAGTACTCTAAAAATCAACTGGAATTATGCTAGATCCACAGCTACCACAAACCAAAGCTGTGCATAAGCAAAATCCAAGAACTCTGAAAAGGGAGGTAGGCTACAGAGAGATAAAGATACGAGGGATAAGTCACCCTTTTCTTGATACTCAAAGGTTAGTAGGCAGGTAGCCTCACGCATGATTCACTCATCCATTCCCAAATTCTTGTAGAGCCCTTATCTAAGGCCTTGAGTTTAGGAGGTTTAAAATATTAAATAAGGGAAAGGAAATATACTGGATTCTCTTGAAGAGAGTTCATCTGAAATCAAAGGATATCTTAAACCCGTCTGACTAGCATTCATCCTCCTTGTAGTGCAAGAGCTAATATTATTTCTTTACTCACGAATTCGACTTCACTTGGCATTGGAAGCCACACACTAGTTGTGACAGCCTTTGCTTGGCTATATAGTGACTCTCGGTTTGCATGTAAGCTTCCATTTAAGAATTAAAAGATTTTGACATATGCAAAAGGAACAGATATAACACAGGGATGACCAAGTCTGGCTTCTCCCTGCTTCAAAAAGGGGAACCATCCCCTTCAATAATATCCATAGTAGAAATACATATCTGCTTGATCAGACATGCCCTCCCACCCCCGATACTCCTGCACCTTTTTCTACTAATCATTCGGGTCCAATATTTGTTGCTGACTCATAAACTTTACTCAGTTGTGGTACTGAAGATGAAGTTAATTAAAGGAGGCAAAGAATATCACCCAATGCAAATCTAGGTTTTAGCCCAGCAGTGCCAAGGCACAATCCCTTAATTAGCCCAGGGTCCGGTGTCAGTTCAGCAGTCAGATTTTCCTTTTATCATCTGGTAATAACTGCAAAACCTCTAACTGTGGCCTTTATCTCAGGGCTCCTTTGGTTACACCTTGCCACAGTTTCTTTACAGCAATGCCACAGTCTCTCTACCACCATCACCAAGGTCTTAACAGCAGGGTCTCACTCTCAGTAGGGTCATCATCCAGTCTCCCTCCAGTCATGCTGCTCAGCGTGGAAAGCACCTTATTTCCTATCCTAGTCCCACAGCTGCTGATGATTTGCAAGACCATGTGTCTGCAGTTAAGGTATCTGAAGACCAGAGGGGGTTAATATTAATGGCTAGAAAAGCCAAATTTTAAACTAACACTATAATACAAAAAGTCTTATTTCTAGGTTTTCTTGGAAAATTTAGTGATCCTAGCTGTACATGGCCACAACCAACTGGGAATGAAGAGTACCTGCTTCCTCTAGAAAGAGCATGTGAATTCCACTTTCCACAGTCCCCACCTCCTTACTTCCTCTCCTCTGTGGTTAAACAGTGAA